ATCACTTCTCATAATGCCCCATGAATGCCAATGTTCATGCTGCCTGCACAGGGACAGTGAAAGATAAGTAGAGCAACACTTGCTCAACCCAACCGCATAAGAGCTAGTGAAGACTGAGACAACCTCATGATTCCCATGAAATGCCAGTGAACCTTTGAGGGTCACGTGTATCTCAACCTAAGCCACTCAACTTTTCAGTCTTTCTCAGCTTGCATGGATCATACAATACTGCTGGGCAACTAAGAGAAGGTCAAACACAGCAGCTAGGTTGTGAATAGCTTGCCATGTTGAGTGCCTGTTTTAAGGCACTCCAGCTGGAAAGAATTTATGTAAGGTCATAGGTTATTTCCAGGGAAGGAAAGTGAAGGCAGCTTTACGCTTTGAGACCATAATCAAGTACCCGCCCCCTCGAAGCCTGATGCTCTAGCCTATGAAAGGCGAGCTTAAGGCTTTTACAAAGCTTCTGGGTTTCCTCTAAAAATGCTAACATCAATTCAAGTGTCACCTGGGGATAGCTGTATGGGAAATGTTTCCTTCTCTCTCTTTGTTTATACTGGCATCCAGACAAGGTTTTTCTGCCTATTATATTACAATCTATTTATGATTAGGGCCATGATTTACTCTTGATTTTACAGTTTAACATACAGGTATACACAAGCCTCTGCTAAAGTCGATCATGACCTCACCAGCCCATGCACCAGAGATCGGAAACACTACTTCCCTTCTCTGCCCATTGTTCCATGGCTTAGCTGGTAGCTGGGCTTCTCATTAGGGCAGCTGCCACTTTTCTGGCCGCGGAAGAGATAGCGTCTCATGTTTACCCTTTTACCCTTTAGAATAACTGACTGCCAAAGTTAAACAGATTATACACACCACTTTGATCTCCCGAGAGCCTTGAGTGGAAGTGATTAAACAAACAAAGCTCTAAGTTTATGTTTGGGCAGCTGAAGAACCGTTTCAGAGTGGCTGACAAGCCAGCAAGTGTGCTGACCTCAGGTGTAATAAACACCAACTTAGGACAGTCACCCAAGAATCCAGGCCGCTAGATCCATCACAAGGCCCTTCCTCGCAGCTGGGTGACATTACCAGTGTCCTGGTACCCATCTCATCAGGCCGAGTCTTTTGGAAAGGGAGTTGGTCTTCACTCCTGGTGACATGAGGCCCTGAGAGGACTGATTTCTCAGATGCATATTTTCCCCAGACCACAAAGTTACATGAGAAAATTAAGGTACCACAGGAAGACATCAGTTTATAGAAGAGAGAGAATGTTTAAAGGGGGATACTCTAAATGAATATAACAGATAAAATATCATTGTGTAGGTCTGTCCAGGGCCATGAATCTACTATACCTTCTACAAGAAGTCATGGCAGTATTAGTTCTACTCTTTCAACAACTTGGCACATACCCGCTGCCAGACCTGATACAGTCACCCATCCTTAGGTCTTTGCCTTGTGTTCCATTACTGTTTAGGTGGTCAGCTCTGGAGTGGAGAAACATCCAGAACTCACATCTAGTTGACACAGACTGCACTGAGTGTTCCCCTAGAATGATCTAGTTTCTCACTCACCCACCATCTCTCAGACCCCCCCATGGGCACCACCCTCCCTGCTGCTGAGCTCAGTGTACCTTCTGCTTCAGCTGCAGCACTGTCTGCTTCATCTGGGAGAACTCCTTGCATGTGGCACAGCAAGTCCCAGCTTTCACCTCATTCTCGGCCTTCTCTTCGTGTCCTGGGGAAAGACATAGGCTCAGCTCCAGCTGGGAGGGTAGCAGGGCACATTCCTGGAGAGATGGCACCAGAAGGGCAGTCTCTGGGCATGGGGTACAAAGAAGCTGACCATAGAAGGTATAAGGGGTAGGTGTTGACAATTTTATGGATCTCTGGTTGATCCAGAATAATCCAGGGTCAGGGGAGAGGAAAAGGGACACAGAGAGAAGCCCTGCTACTCTTTGGGGCCAGCTGTTTTTAGACATTCCAAGTGTGTGAAAACATGTGTTATGGCCCTTTTCTTAGCGGCTTTCATGTGTGGAAATGTGTGCATTTGTTAGTGCTTTCTAGAATGGTGGCTCTATAAGTCTGGCATGATTTTATTGTTTCCCAGAGGCCAAAGTTCATGTGCTGCACAAATTCTCACTCTCAGACAGCAGTTCACACAGCAGTGACTGCCTTTCCCCATCTCTGACAGTAAAGTGTTCAGAGGGAGCATGGTCCAGCTTGAGTGTGGCCCAGCACATTGAGTCTGAAAGCAGGGCTATGCCGAAGAAGACAGCTGGACGGTGGTGACACAAAGCCCTCATTCCAATGGCTACATCACTGGGCCAGGAGAGACGGACACCATTCCACTGTCCTGGTATAACTACAAACCCACTAGACTTAGAGCTGCTGTCTGTTTCTGAAGGGGATCTCCATTCTCTACTGTGAGTGTATCTGAAGCTAGCTAAGGATTCACTTTTTCACCACGAAGGATATAACTCAATCATATGCACAGGGCACCCATCTATCCTAGTTTTGGTCCTTGTTACTGTGATAAAATACCCCAACAAAAGCAACTTAGGGAACAAAGGGCTTATTTTAGCTCCCAATTCCAGGTCATAGCCTGTTACTGTCGGGTAATCAGGGTGGCAGGAAATGGAAGCAGCTGGTCATACCTAGTCAAAAGCAGAGACATGAGTGCAGGATTTTACACTCAGCTCACTTCCTTTTTATACAGTCGAGCATGATGTCTCCACTTTTAGGTTGGGTCTTCAACTAAGGATCAGCACAATCAAGGCATGCCCCTGTATGCCCCTAGATGAATTCTACTCAGATAATTGCTCATTGAGATTCTTCTCAGATGACTCACAGCATGATAAGTTGATAATTTACCTTAATCATTACTCCATTATCCCACCCACCCCTCTTCTTCTATAGAGCTGTGCACTGTGTGAGGGAGCTACTATGAATGGGAGATAGAAATGAGCACTTCTGCTTCACAATTTTCTTCTGACCTTGGTGTAAGGCTAAGCCACCCATTGAGGGTACAAGTACAGGAGTGAAAACTGGATCTCTGCTCCTCTATTTGCACATTCCCAGCTTGGATTTTCCAGGTGTTGGTGCAATTGCAATATCTACACAACAAGCTAAACCTAACCCAACACTCTGTTCTGGACTCACGTTATCTGGATCATGGGATGTTAGAGCTGACACATCTTTAGCACTCTCTTTCAGGTAAACAAAGTAAGACTTAGAGGGGTAAGGTAGCTTGGTTACCCAAAATACTGTGTGCAGACCACACAATTATTGGGATTTGGGGTAGGCACAAAGGGAGGCTGTTATTGGACTTACTGCTGAGAATAGCCAGATGTGGTCTGGCAGGTCCAGGGAAGATACTCCATCTTTATATTGTATATCTTAAGTATGCTCCCCGCTCAATTTAGCTGACTTCCCGGATTTTAAGGATGCACTACTACCGAGTAGCCACACGGGGGCGTGGAGCGCTAATTTTTATGAGAGTCCGTTTAAACATGCTGACCTCTGGAAATCTAACGGCTTAGATATTAGAGTAACAATATCAAATAAACTTAGAAAAATCCAAGAGTGTGCTTCACATGGGAAGTGCTACCAGTGAATAAAGCATTTTGGTATAAAAACTTGACTGTGCTGTTTTGTGAACTCAGTCTGGGTACATACACAATCCCCTGGGGGGAGGGGGGAGGGTGGCTTTGAAAACTCCCCTGGAATCTACTTCGCCCACCCACCTGGGGGTGGCAGTAAGGGACAGTATCAGTATGTTTTAACATTGCCCACGTTAAGAAATCCCTAATCTATTATTATCAGAGCTTGAACGTTATTTGAAACACCTGGTCGTTTCTGAGTCTTTGAACTATATTGAGTGACACATGGGGTCACGGTAACTTTATCAGAAAATAAACACAAGTTGAAAAATAAAGGCCAGCAAGCTAATCACGATGGAGCCAACATTTCCTTCATTGTCTCCCTGGTGCGCTACACAGA